GGTAAGTCTATCGCACACCACGCTTTCCGATATTTGTGGAGCCGAAACAAAGTGACAATTTTTGGCAGATCTCTTTGTAAAATTTTAAAATTTTAGATAATTATAAAAGATACTTGATTTGAACGTGGGTACAATTAGAGACAATCTTTGTAGATTTTTAAAAGTAACTTGAACACTTTTTCATGCTCGCCTTTGAAACTTTGCCAATAGTCAATATTGATACCACTTGAAGTGCATCCAAATTTTCTGTCAATTTAAAAACTGGAAGCCACTTAAGGTTCTTTAGAAAGCCATAAACTTGAAATATTTGAATATCACGTATCAAATGTTTTGGCTTTATGGTGCATTCACAGCCCACGATTTCAAAGCCTATGTTTCCTTTGTATATTTGAAGATCTACCATTCCAATAGATAACTCAATGTTCTATTTAAATAATCGTTCCATTGTTTTTATTTTTATTTATTATATAACTTGCTCATTAAATTATTTTGCAAGTTAAGAACAACAGTTTAAAAAAATACTATAATTATCGCCCACTAGCATATTTCGCCTCAGTTATGGTAATCATTCGATAAGTATGGCTGGTAATATAGCATTCTGAGTGCCCTATGAATAACGATTCTTGAAAATCTAATTAACAGGCCGAAATAAATGTAGTAGTTAAGAAATGGGTAAAGATCTCTCAAAATGTTTCCCAAATGGGGACAGAAGTTCCATTGTGTTTCCATTACTTCATTAGAGTCAATATTAAAATGGTGGGGTGCGTAATAGACTTATAAACTTACCTCCACGTGGTGCACCCTGGGCAACGTATACCCCTCCACGTGGTGCACCCTGGCCAACGTATAATCATACGGTCTTACCTCCACGTGGCGCACCCTGGGCAATGTATACTACACCTTACCTCCACGTGGTGCACCCTGGGCAACGTATTCTCATTCGGCTACCTCCACGTGGTGCACCCTGGGCAATGTATACTCATACACCTCCACGTGGTGCACCCTGGGCAACGTATACTCATACGGCAAAAAAGTCTATTAACTGGCAGTTGACTTCTGGCTTTAAACTACCATGACCCCACTGTATGTCATATTCGACTTCTTTTACTGTACTCACCTTACCTTTTCTCTACCTTTGTATCTGTCTGTCTCTTTTGCATCTGCAATTCATTCTTCCATTCCCTCTATACTTTTTTCTCACTTTGATGTTCCTCTCCTCTGTGAAGTCCGAAGTCAGCTAAAGGGCTAATGTTACCTATCAAAACGCCTGCCATTTGATATAAATAAATAAATATTAAAATATTATTACTATTTAATATTGCAAATTTTTGTGGTTAGAATATTTATTTCTGAACTGTATTGGGTTGTTTAATTTAAGCCTAATACTTGACCTCTATTAAACTCACCTTACACTCCCATCATAATTCCGGTCGAATAAGATTGGATTCACTTCTCTAAAAACGCCTGCCATTTGATGCAAATAAATATTTAATAACAGAGGTTAATTTCATTAAAAGCTCGACTGCTCGACATTATAAAAAGTAATTAAATTCCTTTACATGCATGTATGGAATTCACAGAGAGAATTCGGATTTAGAAGATACCTTAAACTTTTCAAAGTGAAGTGTTCTACGATTCTGTTCAACTCTTCACTCATATAATTGGTTGTCAATAATTGACAATTTATTGGTTTAAACTTAAACATACCACATAGTATGTAGCTAAGTTAGACAAAATTTGAGACGCAGTAAGTGAAACTTCGCCTTCAGTGTCGGTGTCGCGGCTGATTCATCCTCCCTCCCCATCAAAATACAAATTCGCAGGTGTGTTGACCAACATCTGCGCAATCCTAATAGCCGAAGGCACTCGCGCGCAAGCACTCGCTCACAGGCCCACCTGCAACCACAAACGCACATCTGGAGGTACTCACAGTGTCCACAATATCCTCTACTCTCTCTCTCGCTCTCTCCCTCTCTCTGGCCTTTTTATCGCTCAATCTCACCTCGGACAGTGCTACGAATCCTTAAGGGGATTGTTGGTATTAGGATGGTTGCAATACCTTGACTCTGGGACATATATATTGAGGAAAAAGCAGGGAGATAGGGAGAGAGTTTTACTACTCTTTTCTCGGCTTAGAAGAATAGACGCTGTTTGCTCGTTTCAGGAGTGCCTTCGAAGAGACTCCTATTGAAGTATATATCAATACTGTGGATGGCCTGTTTTCCTCAAAAATTAATTCGACCGAAATGGCGTTTGACTTTTTTTAGCTTTCAGTTCAAGTGCCACAAAGCCTAGTGGTCGCATATTTTGTACCACGCTGCGGAATTTTTGTCTACTTTCACTAATTGGAATTTAAATTTGGTATTTACATGACTAGTATTTAATATTTTATGACAGCCTGTCTCTCATACCTTGACTAATGTAGGGCTCTTGGGCGTTAACAACTTTATTCCCGAAAATGTATACCACTTGATGCCTTTAACCATTTTTGTTCAATTTCCATTATTTTGTGAGGCGGAATCTCTGATTTGCTAAGCCACTAAACAATGTATGTTGAATTCTTTTATTCGTTGTTTAGAAATGAACTCTGAAATAGGTACTTTTTTGAATAAAAAATTGAATGGAAAACCTCCATTCTCTGGCGTTGTTCATTCAATATCCCTAAGGAGGTATATTCCAATCGAATTTAGAGTCCTCCTTAACGCAAACAATGAGGATCTTAAGGTCGTGGAGGTATCGATCACCATTAAATACGAAGTATCTTTTTACATTATTTTTTAATTTTCCCAAACGAGTAATAAATATTAGTACCCACACCTACTAATTTATATGATTCGAAATTTAACCTCTCTAATTTGATCAAAAAACCAAACACAACACCAATAGCCAAACGGAAATCAGGTTCCGTAAGTTACTGTTGGCATTAGACACCTTGACCTTTCAGGCACACGTTACGCCACCTCGTGTTTATTAGCATTTCATGACCATATATTATTTGAAGTTATATTATATCAAGTACAGTGCCTATTTCATGACCACAAAACACCTTTTAAGTACGAATGTTCGAATATTGTGGACTCGGTTAGTTAATTAAATAGCATTCATTGGTTTTTTTGTCTACCTTGCTTATTGTCAGAATAGGGGAGATGCTAACCTCTATTTGGCTTTAGGTTGCCATAGTAGTTATTTTTTACCGCCAATCCAAAATACTCCTTCTTGTGTCGTGGTGACTAATTACGCCAACTTTCGAACTCATTCAGGAGTGATAACAGCTCGGTCCTTAATAATTGATTATTACAAAATTCTGAAATTAATAAATTACGTATAATAAGTAATATCAAATATCAATATCAAATTGACTTAATAATAGTGAAAATCTGAAGGTAATTGTTATAATTGACCTAACAACAGTCAATGGTGGAAATATTCTCACCCTAATGCCTTAACGCTAATGAATTCTGAGCACTCGGTATTTGAGAATTTTCGCCTACAATTTGCGCAGATGGTTTTAGATTTCTTTCGTCAATATTTTTGGAGGTCACGACCTTACATCCAGCTCAATTTGGTCGTATTTGAAATTTTTAGTGCCCCATATGAATGTATTCTCAATACCGAGCCCACTTAGCTCGTTTCATTATCCAATTTCCCGATTGTGTGAGGTTTTGAGTGATCCGTTTGATTTAAGATCTTTTATGAGCGTTTGCAGGTGGCCTAATATTCGCCTCCAAAACTCAGTTAACCGACACCTGCATATTTGAGCAAAACACAGGTGTACTCAACCATGCGTACATAAGGAAAAAATATTGTCGCCAAAAGGTTTTGGATTATGGCCGGACAAAAAAAGTTAAAACCCACTCCGAGGCCAATTTACTTGGTATAACAAAGCCAAAAGAAAAATGAAGAATTGGCCACTTCTCTTACACGATGGATGATCATGAGTTCTGACTTCGTAGACTACTTGCAAGATCGTCTCCCAATCTTTGGTGCACTATCGATGACATGGAAACAGACCCTAGAATCCACCCTTGGCTTTCAAATTTCCAGCATTTAGGTGTCCTTCTTCAAGCCCCACCGGGAATGTTAAGGAAATGCTGACAAGAAATATCGTTCAGTTCAGAACGTTACAATTAAAATTTCCATCTTGTACTTTTTGTCCTCAAGGAAGAATTCTAGATCTTGAATAAATTAGATAGCATCTATATTATTTCAATTTCAAAATCTCGCTGAATATAGCATTTAATTATGCAGTGATCAATAGAACAAACTCCACATAAAGCAGCACTTGGCCAAAATTGACATCATTTTTCGATTGGATAAACAATTCGAATAACGAGTTGAGTTTCATTGGTCACTTTGAAAAGCCGACAAGAAGAATTAGATGTGCCTCAGACACTGGTGAAAATCCACCACGTTCAATCAACATCACAAAATGAGCTTTCTCGTGATGACGCCGAAACTGTCCCTCTTAGGGCTCTTCCTTTTACTACTACCTGGAAGATTAGATAAGCTTACCTTCAATTTTATCACGAATGATTCCACTATCTTAATTTATTGATATGACATCTTACAGCTCTCTATAGGCAACGCTAACCAATTGGTAACAGTCATATTCTAGTGGATTCTCTTCCCATGAAAATAGGCATCCGGCAATATGTAACACCTTAAATGTTTAGCAGACTTGAGAATGACAAACAACGACATTCGCCAATTATTCCAACCAATAGGACCTTAGATGGCATTAACATGACGCAATTCGATTTCAGCTTCGCGTCTGTTTACCATATGCTTTGGCTCACTAAACTACCTTTTCATTCTTCAGAAGTTCATATGAGGGGGATATTCAGTTTGCGGGTGGCCTAACATCCCCCCCCCCCCAATTCCCCTGTAACTCAAGTTGATACCACCTGCGCAAATTAGCACATGCACAAACACAGCTGTATTCACCCGAGCATGAGATATATTTCCTAAGACGCAATCTCGAGTAATTGTACGCCATGACTCTAGGTACTTTGATTAACAACACCCCAGCTTGATGCCTCCAAGCGACTGTAGAGAGCGGTGTTCTACAAATTGGATAGGACATTTTAGATTGGTTACTTACTCGAAATCCCGTTGAAATTCAACTTAACTCAGTAAGTACCCTGGTCTTTTGACTTTAATCAACGATGTGAAGGGTTGAACAAATGAACTTATTGAATGAAATAAAAATAGGAGTTCGGGAAAGTTTGGAAAGAATAATTAGAAATTAGGTTTTCAAATCTTTATACCTTCTTGCAACTCAAGAGACACAAAATGATTTCAGATGCGAAACGGTTAACCTGCTTAAAATTAGAAATCCAGCACCAACATTTTGTGTAGACTTTAGTCAATAAAACCAGAACAGCGCATGAAACATATCATTAAGAAGTAAATAAATCTGTATGAAGTCTCAAATATTCTGTACAAAGTATCGACAACAATTAAAAATAAATAAGTTAAGGGGAGATTGGGTACGAAGATGCCTGAAATAAAGGTAAAAATACATTATAAACACACATTGTTAAAGTAAGCAGTAATTACGAACACTCTCCCATCAAGAGCTTACGGGTATTGATGAATGGATTCCATCTGTGAAGGATGTGGAGGCATTTTCATCAGCAAGAAGTACCTCCAAATCTTGGATATAATTAATGACACTTTGAAGTAAATCCAATTGCTTAACTTCATTGCAATCACAAGTCGTAGGAACCATTCTTTTTAATTGATCCAAACAGTGGTCAATGGAACAGCATTCGTCGTAGTTGTACTTAGTCGACCTTAACCGCACTGCAGTCATTCTCCTCGCTATCAAACTGTCTAATAAGCCGGTTATATATACTACGAGTTCAGCCAATCATATTATTCTGTGTACGCATTGGATGATTCAATCAGCCAATCAGAAAATGGATCTGTGTGTGAAAATTGTCATATTTTGAAACTTCGTCCAATAAAATCTATCCATGCACATTATGGTATAATTAAATGTGTTTTTCATCAACAAAAAAGTCAAAAAGTCGGTAATAATCCTATGCATGTTTAGGACATACATTATTGTTATTGACACCCAAGATTAACGCTCTGTGAGATTTATAGGATTAACAGCCTAGCTTGTTTCCAATTGGAATTATATATCTCTGGGAATCTGAGTCTGCCTTGCTTGGGAGAAATTAAGTCTGATTTGGGGAATGAATTTCTTGACGATTCTTGAATGCCTAATTTTAGTTTTTTTAAATTATTCAAATACCACTTATCTATATTTTTAAAAATTCGAATTTTTAAAGTTTTTATTACCGTTAAATTTCCCTTAACTAAAATACAGCGAGGAGATGGCTGTTTAAATCATAACATCTAGCAAAGTTTACATCTAACGAAACGAAGATGTCAAAATTCGGGTTATAGCAATCATTACTGTAAAATTAGAAATAAAAAAATATACATTTGGTCAAAGGCTAACAATGAATTTGGCTGTCGGATTACTTCAGGTAACATAAATAATTCATTCAAAGCCCTTCACTTAACTCCAAACGCCAATCCAGTTCCACTTTCAATGAAATATCATCCTTGAGAGTTGAGATTCCCTTACCTATCACTTGCCATACTCAATTGCAGAATGACATCCATTTTGGAATACTCAGGAAAATTCACAATAATGTTGCTAATTTTTATAGAACGAAATATTGCATTTTGCGATAGCGTAGGATCCTAGGTAGTGTTTATATGAAACACTCAATAATTAATTCAATCAAACTAATCTAATTACATATTCGAGTTTGTGTGTGTGTGTGTGCGTGTGTGTGTGTGTGCATGGTATTTAAAATAGTATCTACTGGGGCAGAAAACAAAAGTCCATGGTGTTGATCTTATGATCGAAGATTTTTATGAGGCTGGTGCAACAAGCTAGACCTTTGCTTGTCAAAATTTAGCTTAAGTGCCGCAAGTGCATTGAGTATAGGATTGCATTCGTGTTGTCATTCATTGTAAAGAAGCGTTTCAAATTAGTTCAGTTGAAGAAATATAGGCTAAACGTGTAATTGACAATATTTTGCAGACTTGAAATGAAACTAAGTTCACATGATTAGTTAGCAGGTGATTAATTAAATTGACAGTCCATTTTTTTCCATTGGCTGTTTAAAAACCTAAATAGACGTAGTTATTTCGTGTGGATGGAGGTATAGACAAATGGCGTTCATATGGCCAACAAGTAGATGGAAGGAGTCAAGAGGGCAGCAACTGAGGAGGAGAGGTGTCGGAAGTAACCAAGGGTACATCTGAAATATGCATGCACACACAAAAAAACTCATCACTCCCTCTTTTCTGGTACAATAGTGTGTGAACGGAACAGATTGACTTGACATTTGGCCTTTGTGTGCACAAGGAAATCTTTTCCTTCCTCACCTCCTTCATCCCTTGACCGTCTGTTATGGATGCGCCTTCATCTGGCTGTACATATGGCACATTTTGCTTACCCAGATAATGATGCAATCTACCCAACATAATGATAAGCATCAGCATATGCTTTGATTTCGACTTTTCGAGTTCAGGCGAATTGAATCTTTAATTCCTTGCTTTTTTCATCTAGTGAGTGAGAAGGTAAATTTCTCTTCCTTGATAATCAGCAACCTTAGCTTTCAACGTAGCAGAGTTGAGGTGACCGAGAATTTTAGTTTAGAGAGCTTCTTTAACTATTTAACAACATTTAAGTTATTAACATACTGCATCATTAGCAATATCTCCTGATCTTGCACTAACTAACTGCTTAGTAATACCAATTGCGGAAGGTGATGCCACTAACCAGAGTTCTAAACTTCCACCATAAGCCAAAAAATTTGAAATATGAGATTTATAAAGTTCTAATGAATGCAAACCCTTGATCCTGAAGAACATGACCTAAAAAAACTTTTCATCAAACTTCATTGAAGGTTTTCAAGAGCCTCTCTCATTCAAACTGCAAGTGGAACAATATAGAAAGCTGATTGGGAGTATATACTCAATCAACATGCCCCCTACGTGACCTACAGAAGGAAATGGAGAAGACCCACCTGATTCGGTGTCCAGCCCTAAGGACAACGACGGAAAGCCAGAGATACTGGGAAGCAAAAAGACAGCTAATGAACTGTTATTAATTAACTGCTATATATGTACCACCACCCACGTGGAAAGCTGAATTCGAAGTTTAAGGGCTAATGATAAATATCATAAAGCCTGCCATTTGAAAAAGAACTTCGACATAACTGGCAAGTTGATTTGATTTAGTCCATAATAAATAAATAATCAGGGAGTTTACAGCTCTGGCTAGAACATCTTTGAGCAAAAAGAAATTGAAGATTCATGTTCTGACAAGTCGCTGAACACTGGCGAACCCTCGCTCATACCCTCAAACCATTGTTATTAATAATAGCAGTTTTGGCTTTTTAGCATCAATAAATCACTTTGTGTCGAGTTACTTTTCTCCGTACCCTCCACCTTTAAAAAGTTGAAAGGAAAATGAGGGTATACCAAAGGCGGCGCATCAATCGGAGGGTCCCCTGGAGCTTTGTGTGCTTACTGATGGAAGCCAGCTGGAAATAATTCGGTTAATTAAATGAGAAGTGGGAGAAACTCAGAGGCAAGTTTTGGAGAAAATGCGTTTTCGAACACTTTTATAGAAAGTTTAGGTATACTGCTTTAAAATGCTTACCTTCAATGCGTTCTATCCAGCAAGGTTATGGTTAATCCTTTCAAAAAATACTTCTGGCTAAAAGGGTCAAGTAGCCATTGTTAGTATCGTCTACATTCTAATGGACGTAAAACAATGGAAAAACAACCGATCGATCAAGGTGTCTTGACCATCAATTGAATTACTTCAATTCAGCAAGTTCAGCAAAGCTCAAATCATAATAATTTATACTCGGATATTTTTTTAAAATAAAAGCTTTGTAGGCCATTGAACAATTTTAAATAAAGCAAATCTTTCGACGACACCGAATAACTGCTTTCAACCCACGGCTTCAGCCCACATTGAACTACTTACTATCATCAAAACTTGCTTGAAATTTAAGAGAGAAGCGTGACTTAATGCGCTTTCTAGATGTTATTTGGCGTTTACTAAAACAAGCACTATGTTACCCTATAAATTTTCGATTTCTATCAAATAATCATGCGCATTTAATGTTAATATTAAATAAATCATTAGATTGTTTAGTAATTTTTTAATCAACGTAAGAATTACGAGGTGTGCAATAGACTTACCTTCACATGGTGCAACCTGGGTAACGTATACTCATATGCCAAAAAAGTCTAAAAACCGGCAGTTGACTTCTCACTTCAAATTACTATGACCCCACTGTATGTCATAGTCGATCACTTCTACCGTACTCACCTTGCATTTTCTCTGCCTTTGCCTCTGTTTATTTTACATCTCTGAATCTCCCTTCTGTTCCCCCCCCCCTCGACTTTTTGGGACCTTGGCTTCCCTCCCTCTGTGAAGCCCGAAGTCAACTAAGGGGCTAATGATAAGTATCAAAACGCCTGCCATTTGATATAAACAAATAGATGGGTTACTAACATATATTAAAGTATAAGTTTTGGTGGTATGCTTTAAAGAATATTATTTGGCTACCAGGGATCTTGCATTCCATTAAGACCTTTTCTACTGAAATCATCGCAATGGTCAACTTTTCGCTCAAATTGACCACCGTGATGGTTAACTTTCTTGGCAAAATGAAGAAAGTTCTTGTTGAGGCACAAACATTCGGGTTTTGTTATGATGAGAAAAGTTGGTAAATTAAAGATCCAATAAGTAGAATGACAGATGAGATGTCTTGCATACAATTCAAATGACATTGCTCATGTCAAGCAGATAAAATTTTCCAAAATTGTCATGGTTTTCAGTTGTGTTCTGCTCCAAGGATGATGTGATACATCCCCCTCCTCCTCCTCCTCCTCATCCCCTCCACGCTTGTTTGAAAGTGGTGCTTAGGTTGAATTCTAGATGCCTACTTGAAATTGTATTAGTCAAGCCCCGAATAACGAATTTGTCCCAGATCTTAGCCCAATGAACTATTACGTATATATTTGTAGCTGCCATAAGGGCACTGTTAAACCCAACCACTTAATGGGCAGGAATAGATCTATTTTTCTCATCTTTCCCAAGGGAAGTGCAAAATTCGCCTGGGGTTGTAGCAGACTCTATAAATGGTTATTATGGATAAAGTTCTTTCATTGTCTGTTAGATTTCTTTTGAGTCTATTTATGCCGTTGTATTTACCGACCACCTTTTCTTCTCGATGAGACCGTCAAAGTTGGATCCCGAACGCCAGAAAGTGGTCAATGATTCTGGAAACATCTACACCCCGCGAAATGATCCCATACTTCATTACAGCTCGCAATTAGGAATAAGTGAATATTATTATTATTATATCAAATGGAAGGCTTTAATATATTTATCATTAGCTCCTTAGTTGACTTCTGGCTTCCCAGTATCTCTAGGTTTCTGTCGTTGTCTTTAGAGCTGGACACCGAATCAGGTGGGTCTTCT